GGGGTGGGCATGGACTACTGCCCAGCAAAATACACAATCTTCTTGTCACCTTTGGGAGATGGACTCCATGTTTGTGCTCTGCGCCTTTTTGTAGGTGTGTCAAAGCACCAGCGTGTTGTAGCGCTTGTGATGTTCGTTAGGTAACCTGCCTGTAGGTTCAGGTTCAAGGGATTGGATACAAACCATTCGATTTTCTTGAAATCGAGGCGAAAAGGCACTTCCCGTCGCACTCCGTTCAGAGAACCGATAAGAAATGCTTTTAAGGGACAGTATGTAGAGATACCGACGGTATAGATATTCTTATTGAAGGCACAGTTCACGATAATTTTGAGGTACCGTTTTTAAGTTGAAAAGCGGAAGTGTTGATGTAGAGGAGTATATCGGCAGAGAAGAAAACAAGAAAATCCGTCTACTTCAAGCTTTAAAAAGTAGTTGAAGTGGAGTTTGTACGAAACCACGGCGACAGGAATGACATGTAGGGGTTTTTGGACGAGATTCAGCTTGCTCCAATCGTGCAAAGAGCTGACTACATCAAACCATAACTGTCCAGAATTGCCTTCACTGTCGCTATAGGTCATGACAAATTCTTTGAACTTCCTACAGTGGCTCCTCTGTGAATGGTGCAGCCTCTACGAAGCCGCTTTAGGGGTATGGCATTCACGCGATACAGTGTCTGCTTCCTTATTGTGCCCTATCCTGGACGTTTCTTGATCTTATAACGACAGGGTATGGTATAAGGGGGAGCCTCGAATACATACTATAGGGGAATCTTTCTCATGGAAACTGATTTGACGAAAGCCTGACAAACCGATTCGGACTTCTCCGGTTTAGTAGACCCCTGTACTATCTTCGTAGCTTACGCTTCAACATCAAGCTGGGTATAGCGAACGTGAACGCGTTTTGAAGAAACTTGCAGAGGTTTCACAGGATTCTGCAAAATTTCTAGGGCTGAAGAGCTTCACAGCGGATCCCACACAACAGAGTGCAACGAATGGGTGAAAGACTGTGGGGACTATCAGACGACCAACACCAGCGTCAATCAACATCACATATTTTCATGGTCTGAGAAAATTCCGTAACCAATAACATTCACGAAGACACCAGCTTATCACAAATCGGCACGATGGTGTTGGCAACACTATCGTGACGATTTGTGATGAGGATTGAGGAGACACCAAGAGACTTTTGCGCACAGTGTGGAGTTGCGCGAGCTGCACAACTCCACACTGTGCAACTACCAATCAATGCTCAAACTCGCAAAGAGCATTGGTTGGTAGTTGTCAGAAGAAAAGCGATCGAGGAAGGTATGAAAGAGAGAAGAACAGCAGGAAAACACTGAAAGAGGCAAATGCTGGAACCCCTCATGCATGCACAGAGGACTACGAAGAATTTCTAGCCTGATCACATCCATACAGCCGTAAGATGCATTGAAGTACCAAAATTGTACAAGATGACACTGTGCCTGACATTCATTGATTTGTAGCAGGCTTCTGGCACTGACAGTGGCTTACCATAGAGGCGGTTGTGGATACCCTGGCCAACTGGGGTGTTCCCACTCTGCATGGAAGGATACCTGATGGTTCTGACACAACTTTGTGGATGATTTTCACCAGCCTACGAGCAAGTCACCGCTAAGAAAGAGGTCGCTAAGAAAGAGATCAGATGAAGCGAAGCCATCACAAACGCTTCAGTGTCAATTCTCAAGAAGAAACCATTGCATCACCCAGACTTCTTGTACATATGGGGTGGGGACTGGGTTTGAAAGTTTTTCTCCTCAAACCACGGAATGCCATCAACCCTCTGAGAGTATTTGACAATGGGAGAAGAGATTTCTTGTGCTCATAACACTATGTGAACTACGTTTCGAGCCAAGGAATCCTCGTAATGCCTTCTCAGGCCATTCTCCATAAATTTCTTCTTCTTATTCTTCTTCTCCCTAGCATTAATCCCGCGCCGTCGCAGGGTCCACTATTCATATCAGTCGTCTCCACTTCCTTCCATCTATGGCATGATCTGACCTTTCTTCAGCTTCGGTGAGGTCCTTCTTGATCACGTCCCGCCACCTCTTCTTTGGAGCTCCTCGTGGTCGTTTCCCTTAAGCCTCGAACTTCACTGCCTCCCTCACCGGATGATTCGGTGGTCTTCTCAGTACGTGTCCGCACCATCGTAGACGCTGCTCTCTCATCTTAAGCTGGACAGGAGCGGTATGCATGACCGCTCTTACGCCTTCTAATCCGGTCCAGCCGCGTCCAACCGCAGCCCATCTGAGAATCCTCATCTCAGCGGAGTGAAACTGTCTTTCATGATTCCTATTCATGGGATAGCACCCACCGCTGTAGATCATCGCAGGTCTCACCACGGTCCTGTACACCTTTCCTTTGAGCGCCCTGGAGCACCGACGGTTGCAGAGGATCCCGGTGAATTCCCTCCACTTCATCCATGCCGCGTTTATACGGAATCTTGGCCTGATCCCGCTACCATCAGCGGCTAGATCACTCTCCAGGTATCGGAAGTACTGTACCCTTTCGATGACTTCCCCAAAACCGTCTACGATTGACTCCGTGCACTATTCAGTGCTGAGAAACTTGGTTTACTTCATATCAGCCGCAGCCCAATATCCGCCAGCACTTTCTGTCATTTCTGCAGCCTATCCTGGAGTTCCTCCCTCCTCTCCGCTATCAGAGAGATGTCATCAGCCTAGAGGATGGTCTTCAGTGGTCCACCCATAAGTCCATTTGTGATGACAACCCGTGTGAGTAGGAAGAGGACGGGCATAGAGCTGACCCTGGTGTACTCCAACGGTAGCGTCTACCGATCCGTTCCTCCATGATTTCCTATTAATAAAAAATCTCTTTTCTGAACGACTAGGCTAGCTTACGTTAGCAACTTTGAAGGTTCCAATACCTTACAGAAAAATGATTCCTTTCAGGGTCTATGGTAGCAAATATCTTGAAGGTGATGGATCATATATGTGATGTTTCTTCGAAACCAGTTACCGATAAGGATGTCTGCAAAAGACTAATAGTGAAAGCTTTGAAAGATAGTGGAGAAGTGGATATGATTATAGAGCGCCCGACCGAACCTGATGCAATTGCAGAAATGGAGGTGAGCAATTCCGGTCTATCTTAATTTCCTCATTTGGTCCGAATTCCCAGAAAGTGGTTACTCTGGAATGTGCTCCAAACAAACAGCAAATGCACTTAAACCTCGTGATTCAACCATAAACAAATACATAAGTAAACACACTTGTCTATTATCAATGCGAGGGCCGTCAAGATTTTGTGAAAAGCAATGTAGTACAGTGTCGACCAGAAACACAAAGGAGTGCTCTCTGAGATAGACGCTCCGATGCTACTGGCTGCTTTCATAGTCCGCGATCCGGCCCGCGAGCGCGGCGGCGGGTACGGCGCTCGCCCCTTGTTTACAACTAAATCTTGGTCGAGACCG